TTTAAACTCGGTCGATCTTCTGTTTAAATGGAGATAATTGATGATAAATAATAACTCGCGTGTGTCTTGGTTTCTGGTTTTTCCGGAAGTGCCCCCATCATTCATTTCATGGCCTCCCCAGAGTTGTATTTATTCAACTTATCGAAATAGATACATTGATATGCTTATAGCTAGTTTACACTCAGCAATACTTAGTATACTCTTATACAGTGTTTACAGCTCGGCCAATCCTGGCAATGGATCGCCCTCGATCATGTGCCCAAATTACTTAAAGCTAATTCATGCCAAGGGGTCATGCCCTGCATCCTCTCCACCAATGCCGCCATCATCTGGTTTACTCACCCACTTCCGAATGCGGTGAGCTTCAATGACCCCATCGTATGGAAGCTGGGTTAGCTGACAATTATCAATGTCACGAATAACGTAGCGGTCATTGCCTAATACCTTGTGTACTACGTACGGTCCTTTATATTGGGGTATAAATTTTTTGTTAACACCCACAGTCGTATCAACATTCCTTATGAGCACATAGTCTCCTACTTCGTATCTTTTACATTTTACGCTGGCTGCAGACGATCGTTTTGAATCATAGTCCTGTCTAGCTTCAATTGCCTTGGAGGCATTTTCACGTATAAAAACTAGGTCTCGCCCTGCATCAGGGCATAACTTGTCTTGGAAATATTCTGTGAATTCGTCGATAATAGTTCCCCTTTGCTCCACCCCGAATAAGAGCCGGCTAGGCGTATCGCGACAGGTGCTATGCACGGAATTATTCACAGCGTATTCAACTTCCGACAACTTCTTACACCAGTCGGCATGGTTTACAGGGTCCGTCACCTTCCCTAACATCGTTTTAAGAATTCTGTTTACACGTTCAACTTGCCCATTGGCTTGCGGTGAAGCTACGGCAACCTTTACATGATCTATATTCCGCTTGGAAATAAAATCGCTAAATTCTAGGGAGGTGAAACATGTTCCTCGGTCACTAATAATTCGTCTAGGTCGGCTATAGTAATAAAAATATTTCTCAAGGGCGGCAGTAACTTCTCGCGTACTAGTGGAATTAGTTGGGTACAACTTTACAAACTTGGTAAAGGCATCAACTATAACTAATATGTGCTTCCGCTTTGAATATATGGATGGCAATGGGCCGAAGTGGTCAATATGAAGCGTATCAAATGGCAGTGGAACTTTTGGTATTACGTGTAAATTCCTGTCTTTAGCTCGAGGTGGGCTAGCATACATTAAACATTTCAAGCAATTTCTGATGAATACTTCCACCTTTGTTCTCATATTGGGAAACCAGTAATACATGGCTAGTTTACTAATTGTCTTATCAACGGATTGATGACCCATTTTTTCATGTATCACTCGTATTACGTTTGCCTCCATCTCGGTAGGCACATACAACCTTTTCTTTCCAACAGGTTTTATCTTATATACAAGGCCATCTATTAAATCAAAACCCTCGACAGCTTCATCAGTGAGACGACTCCTCAAAGAACTAATAGTATCATCCCTCTCTTGGGCTATTTGAATCTGAAACTCCACCTCATCGGTATCTATAATTAACGCGATCTGTGCCCTACTTAAGGCATCAACATGCCCCATCGAAACTCCTTTCCTATGTTGTATTCTATAATTGTAGTTCTCGAGTTCGAGTGCCCACCTAGCAATTCTCGGATTCAACTGTTTTTTTTCAAGAGTCATAGCCAATGAGTTGCAGTCCGTTATTATCTTGAACGACATACCTTCCAAATAGGTTCTAAATCTTCTTAAAGCGTAAATAATTGCTAATGTTTCGAGCTCGAAACTATGGTACCTGGATTCGGCACTTGATGCAGTTTTCGAAAAATACGAGATAGGATGAAATTTGTTGTCATCTTGCCGCTGTAGTAAGACAGCCCCAAACCCTATTGCGCTTGCGTCGCAATGTAATTCTGTCTCTCTATCACGGTTATATATTGCTAGAACTGGACTATTAGACAGTCGAGCTTTCAGTTCGTTAAATGCATTGAGACAATTTTCGTCAAAATTAAAATCGGAGCTTCGCTTAAGAAGGTTTTGAAGTGGCTTAGCTATTTGGGAAAAGGACGGCACAAAACGGCGAAAATATGAAAACAGCCCTATACAAGATTGTAGTTGTTTCTGATTAGTAGGTATTGGAAAGTTACGTATACTTTTAATATGTGAACCATTCGGTCTGATTCCTGATTGGGACACTTCATAACCTAAGTAGCATATTTCGGAGTATCCAAATTTTGATTTATCAAGATTAAGTTTTAGTCCCCGTAAAGATAGTCGCTCTAGCACTGCTTTTAATGAAGCTTTGTGTTCCTCAAAATCGTGGCTAGCAATAAGGATATCATCCATATAGACAATAATCGTCCGATTGTCAATTAAATCACGGAATACGTTATTAATAAAGCGTTGGAAAACAGCCGGCGCATTCTTTAATCCAAACGGCATCTTGAGATATTCGTATTGACCATTTGGCGTCACGAAAGCAGTATATGGAATAGATTCCGGCTCCATTTGTATTTGGTGAAAACCACTCTTCAAATCTAATATAGAAAACACCTTTTTGTTTTCGAGAAATTCGATGCAGTCATCAATCAAAGGCAGAGGGTAGTTATCTCTAACTGTTATCTTGTTCAGAGCTCTGTAGTCGATGCACATACGAACCTTTCCATTTCTCTTTCGCACCAATACAATTGCAGAAGCATACGGAGAGTTGCTAGGCCTAATTATATTTTCTTTTTGCAATTCGTCTATTATTGACTGCACCTCACTTCGTTCTAAATAGGAAAGTCGTCGTGGAGGACAGTGGAATGGAACGTCAGTCGTGAGGTGTATTTTCATTTCATACTTGTATGGTTCTATCATAATATCTGTGTTTAGGTAAGCGTCCTCAATTATCTGTTTCAGTTCTAAACGGCAATTTTTTAATAGTCTCAGATCTATGTCAACACAATCTCTATCAGGCGCTATATCTATACAAAATACATCTGGTATGTCAGCACAAGGATTTGAAACTCTTTTTGGCTCACCTCCATTACCGATTTCGACAATTGCGGCATTGGTATTAAGGACACTTACAAAATTAATTATTTCATCGGCATATGGTCTTACATGAGATTCTCTTTTATCAATTCGATCAGGAGTAATGTTAACTAATTTTATATTATACAGGTCTAAAAAGTCACGTCCCAAAATAACTGGCAACGACATGTATCCATCTGATACTATTTTTAGTTCAACGACATTTATTTTCTCTTTGAATTTTATTTTAAGTTTAATAATTCCAAGAATTTTCAATGGGTTCCCCCCAATCGCTTTGTATCCAGATATAGTTTCCCTCATTCTCCCTTTTGTCAGGTGTTTTGGGACGTCTGACTTCCGAATGAAGCTAATCGGACTACCGGTATCAAAAAGAGTAAAAACTAGATTAGATACTACTTTACTACCTATCTTATACTCTATGCTTACATAATTATAGGCGTCGACGGCAGTGAAGTCTTCAACTCCTTCGTCAGCTACGGCAGCAACTTCGTCTTTACGCTTCAACACTTTTCTTGGATTTGGACAAGCGCGGTGATCGTGCCCCATCTTCCAGCACTTGAAGCACGAACCATCTGGTCTATGTGGGAAAGGGCAGTTCGGCTTTATGTGTCCGTGTTGGGAGCAATTAAAACACAGTACCTTTGCTTCGGTCTTATGTGGCTGGTTAGCTTGCTGTGTCTTCTGAACCACAGTTGTCGGGGAGTTAGTCATAAAATACTTATTCTGGTAGCGGCTAATGAGCACTTTTAATTCTTCAATAGTCCGCGCTGTTAGCAATAAATGCACGTTTGGTACCGCATTCCCTATTCCGTCGATTACAAAATCAATCACCTCTGCCTCTGCGATGTTTGCCCGCTTTGCAATTGCCTGCATATTTAACACATAGCGGTGTAGTGTCTCGTCCCTCTTCTTCCACTTCCGCTGTGCCAACATCTTGTAAATTTCTTGCCTGGTTACAGCAAAGTCAAACTCTTTTACAAGTGCTCCTTTTAGCGCGTCGTAACCGAGTGCTGCTGTGGTGGTCAAAAACACCCGAGCCGTACCAGTCAAACAGCGACGGAGTGCGAGAAGCTTAAAATTGTTATTAGCGCCCGTTGACTCCATAATTTCTTCGAAGTCTCGTACAAAATGGTTAACGGGGTAGGCCACATCGTCTCCACTAAATTTTGGCAATGCGTGCTCGATTTCGCCAAAATCCAGACGACGGTGACCTCCAGCGGCTTTGCGGCTTTCGAGTTGTTCAATTTGTTGCATCAACTGCAACATTTCCAGGCGCTTGCGAAGGGCCATAACCTCCTGGTCTATGTTCCCTAACGATCCCGGCATGCATTCGGCGGCAGCAGAATCAGAGTTTCCAACGACGGCGTTGGAGCCGGCATTATCAAAATCGTTGCAGACGTCAGTATCGGCATTTACGGCAGCGGCAGTGTCAGCATTTACAACAGCGGCGGCATTTACAGTAGCAGCAGTGTCGGAATTTTCGGCAGCGGCAGTGTCGGCATTTATGGCAACAGCAGTATTTACAGCAGCATCAGTGTTTGTGGCAATGTCACCTGCTTCGGCAGATCCTGGCACTGGCCCACCTACAACGGCCCGTAGCAAATTACGAAGCTGTCCCGTTGTGGCAGAGGTTGGAAAATCCACCTGAGCGTCACTAAGAACATTTATTATGTCTTGCCTTGAATTCATCATATTTCCGCGAAATTCTCTTTTTAATTGTTTCCTCCTGGCTCGTTCTCCACACCTGAAGTTTTAAACTCGGTCGATCTTCTGTTTAAATGGAGATAATTGATGATAAATAATAACTCGCGTGTGTCTTGGTTTCTGGTTTTTCCGGAAGTGCCCCCATCATTCATTTCATGGCCTCCCCAGAGTTGTATTTATTCAACTTATCGAAATAGATACATTGATATGCTTATAGCTAGTTTACACTCAGCAATACTTAGTATACTCTTATACAGTGTTTACACATGTAAATGCACCATTATCCAATTCTAGTATATTTCGACGATATCGTTGTTTCTTTGCGTAAAAATAAAAATATTTTACTGTTCAATGTTGGAGGGGGTGTGAACCAACATTGATGATTTATTGTTAGTATGAAAACTAGAAACACAATTATCATCTTATTGAGCATTAGACCTCTTCTCTTTCAAAAACAAAAGGGGAAATGTTCGGTTATTTACGCACCGGTTTTGGGGTGGGGAGGGATTCATTGAAAAATGGGGTAAAATTAACATTTTGACAGAGAAAATGTAAGTCCAACTCCGGCTACGCTGACCACAATATTTTTTACAAAAAAGACCATATTTCAAACCGAATTTATTCATAAATTTGTATCTGAAAATTTTAAATCTTTATTTTAAACTAACGTTTAATTGTTTGACCACACGTCTGTGCTAAATTTTTTTTGCCCTGGGTAAAGCGTTTGGACACAATGGGACGTATGCATAAAACCTAAGCAAATGCTTTTTCTTAAAATCTCAGACCTTGTACTAAAGTTGTTCAAATAAATTTAAGTGAAAAATATATTTTAAGAAAAAGCAATTGCTCAGTTTTTATGCATACGGCCCAATAACCCAATACTATTGTATCAGTAAAATACCTTTTGCCTGTTCAAATTTCGATTCTAAGAACAAAATGTTAGTAAATAAACAAACAAATAATAACACAATTTTTACGATTTTAGATATTGGGTATGGTAGAACGAAATGTCACAATCTCCTTAATTGTCATGATTCAATAATAAAAGGTTTGCTCAAACAACAGTTTTCTCGCTCCCTCTTGACAAAATCTTCCCCCTTAGCAAGGCACTGTTTGTGGGTTCGTGTGTGTGTGCAAAGCTTTTGTAAGGGAGCTAAGGAGTGTCATAACCAGGGAACGGATTTTATGGAAATTGCCTTTTTTTCTGCTAAAGAGATAGAGTATATTCGATTAAGAATGTCCCTGATTCTATATATACACATTTGATGTTGCCTTTTTTGCCTTTTTTAAGATCTTTGCCTTTTTTGCCTTTTCTACCTTTAAAAAGTGATTATAGCATTTACAATTTTTTTTTAAGATTAAAAGATATACACACGCCCATGCGGCTTATAGAAGCGCAGGGACCTCTTGCCAAATTGGTGTAGGAAAAATTCAAAGCCGTTTGCTCAGCTCACGTAGGCTTGGAGATAATAAGGGGTGTGGATAAAATTGTAAAGGGCGAGGAAAACGCCCTTATTCCTGATAATATGAACGTTTCAAACGTTCCATATTTAAATTGGGCCCACTTGTATCAACTTACGTCGAGCGCACATTTAGTACATTCAAGGCTTTTCTTCTCGAAAATCTAATGAAAATGCTGCCAGAAAACTTCAAAATGCATCTTGTGGTTCAATGTTTCTACAACTATACAGATTAAAGTTTTATGAGTTAGAAACTCGAAAGGATAAAATAGTCAAAGATTCAAAGTACAAATTTTTCATATTCTAGTTCATAGTTTTTTTCTTTTTACTTGTAATATAAACATTTCTAAAATAAATATATTTTTTGATTGTTCTTCGTATTTTCTGTCTTTTTTTAGTGCCTTATTTTGCTTTTTTTGCAATACCTAGTGCCTTTTCCTGCCTTTTTCGCTATTTTGTTTTGCCCTTTTTTCCCCTTTTTTGCAATACCTAGTGCCTTTTCCTGCCTTTTTCGCTATTTTATTTTGCCTTTTCCAGCCTATTTCGTTATTTTATTTTGCCATTTTTATAGGTTTTTAGGTCCTAAAAATCCGTTCCCTGGTCATAACTCTAATGTCACTAATGAGCAAACCTCTAATTATTTAATCATGCTTAATTGTCAGGTTGTTAATATGGAGACGAAAAAGCGACAATGGTACTACCCTTTTTTTTGTATCATGGAAAAATGGACAAATTTACACAAACAAATATAGAATGAAAAAATAATAAAAAATATGTCAGCACTGAAAAAAAATTTATATTATAAATTGATTTAATATTCGCATTTACTGAAAGTGAACACGAAATTTATTGAAAAAAAAAACACATGGCGTTCATTTAAGTGGGGAAGCGCGAAATCTTTTTTGAATTTTTGAGTGCAAAGTGTATTAAACGAATGACGAAATTTTCAAAGGAGATATAGAAAATGATTATTTCCAATCTGAATACAATACAGATCCCTGGGAGCATCACACCACGTAAAGTTGATAGGATTGCAGATATTCTTCCCACGCCGGATTGCAGGAAAAATAAATTTCGCGACTTGGAGGGAAAATATCAACAAATGGCCGGCAAACTTCGCACAAAAAATTAAATAAAATTATAAATCAATGCTGGAGAAACTCCAATCTCCTGTCCACACTAGATTTAAGGTGCCTTCTTAAATTTTATTGCATATTGCTTCAATGGTGCTATCATTTATTAACGCTTTACGGTTGGACTTTTAAAGGAGAGGAGTATCCCAAGGATACCAATGAAAATGTAAAATTTGTTTTAAACTAATTGATAAACTCTGGAGGTGGAGGAACATTTGGAATTTTCCTGGGAGTAAAAGCATCCGCTTTAAAAGCTTCAATTTCGTCAGGTGTTAGATCCGCCAATTTACTGTAAACAGAACTGCTTACTACCGGTGATTGCAATAGAGCCTGAGATGAGGTGTTTTCACCCACTTGCTTCCCGAAAGCAGTTGACTGATTGGAACGAGGGGTTTGTTGGAAAAAATTTGTAGGTGGTTCCATTGAAACAGAAGTCGTTGCAATTGTTTCGTCAGGTTGAGAAAAAATGTTTGCAGGTGTATTCTGATTTTGACACAATGCCTGGACGAATACGCTTTGTGAGGGTATTGCTGCTGTATTAGTAAAATGTGCTGTGCCATTTGGTGCGCTGAGCGATTGAGCAAATAAATTATTTAAGTTGGCAGAAGACGTAGTTTGTGCCACTTGACCAAATATGCAACCAGGGGTTTGTTGTGAAAAAACATTTTGCTGTACAAAAACTGATTGCGCCTCCTGTTTGTTGCTCTGGTACATGCCAAAATTCGGCGGAGTTTGCATTTGTTGAGATTGCGTGGATTGGGTAAAAACGTTTCCCCCATTTGTTATTTGCTGCTTCTGAATACTTTGGTTAAATAAACTACCACCTGCGTTCTGTTGAGCTTGGGAAGAACACAAACCTACGATGGACGAAGGTTTAATTTGATGCTGCTGTAGTAATGATTGGCTGAACAAACCTCCGGTCCCTTGCTGCGCGCGCCCAAAACGTCCAACAGTAACATCAGTACTTGTCAGCGTTTGACCAAATAGATTTTGTGGGGCGCCTCCTCCGAATATGGAACTAGCATTTGGAAGTTGTTGAGAAAAAACTGAAGACTGCTGATTTTGAAAATTAAAAGCTGACCGACCTCCACCAAAGATTCCTCCAGGAGTCGAAGGTGCCATTCCGCCAAATACGCATCCGGCATTGGTAGTATGACCATGATCGTTAAAAGCATCACCAAAATTTTTATTACTGCTGGATGTAGCGCCAGGTTTTTT